CAAATAAATAAGCTCTGAACTTTTCAACAGCGAATACTACGGCCAACAATTCTTTTTCAGTGGTTGTATAATTCACTTGAGCCTCATTCAGCGTTTTACTGGCATAATAGATAGGATGAAGTACCTTTCCCTTTTTTTAATAGCCCCAACCTAAATAAAGAAATAAAGAATAAAAATAATTATAAAAAATAGTTAAAATTATAATAATAAAAAAAAAATTAATTAATTAATTAAAATAAATAAATAAAAATAAATAATAAAAAATAAACCTTTCCCCATCTCTCTCCACTAACCTCTCATCCCTTCCCACAATTATCTCTCTTCTGCCCATGTACGCTGCAAAAAAGAAACAAAAAACCTGACAAAAAAAAAGAGAAGAAACAGAAAACAACCATCGTCAGATTTGAGAAGAAGTATTTGAACAGATTGCAGATTTAGAGATTTTTGTCAGTTATTACGGTAAAATTCTATCTCAGAACTCCTTTTCCTTTATAGTTATGCTTATAAGAAATTAATTTAGGATCAACTCTTCTTTCCTATCTTACCGTATGTAATAATCAGATCTCATGTTCAATTAATTAGATTTTTTTTAGCATCGGAAGTTATAGGAAATAAGGTTAGAATCAATATAATTTTAGCTGGCAGATCCATAAATCTGTAAGATAGTAGCCAAATTAAAATTGGCCAATAATATCGGTTTACATAATGAAAATAAATATAGAATTAGAGTAATATCTTATTTACAGATGTTTACAAAATTGAGAATCTATTTACCGAATGGGAATGAAAATAATTACCATGAGGGAGGAGGGAAGATTGAGGGAAGATTTGTTAAACAGAATTTAAAAATATAACAGGAGATATCAGAGGGCATGAAATTAAATTCTGTGTAACAATAAATATTAGAATTTTAACAAGGTAAATTAGAGAAATAATTGTATAGAGTTCAACTTGAAATTGATGTCATGAACTCATATAGGTTGACTCGGATTTCAAAGGACGGAATCGAACTTTCATTAAGGATATATTTGTGACAACGACTTAAGCTAGCCAGGTAAGTGACCTTACTATCGGCATTGTTATATTTGATGTTGACACGTGCCCTGTGGTTCGGCACGCGTCATATATATTGATATATGTGAATTGTCTGTGGATCGATATGCTTCCTATATGTTATGTTATGCTATATAATATGTGGATTGTATGATAATAATTATGGTACAATGTGCTCTAGGAGATGTTTGAGATAGGATACGAGAAGGATGCACAAAACAAAATGTAACGATAGGAGTAAGATACGTTCACGAAACGTTAGGTTAGGTTACATACTGGAGTGCTATGGATAGGAGAGATTGATGAAAGAATACGGTTAGGTTATGGGTAGAAAGGGATAGATTTGTGATAGATTGATAGAACGATGGCGTTAGGATACGTTCTGGTGATGATATGACTAAGGTACGTCACGTAATGATATGTCTGTGATAGGTATAAGAACATTAAGGCTATGGTAAGTTAGAGAATGATATGACTATGAAGTGTTTACGTTATGACTCGGTTATGATATGATCCATTGTATGCTAGATTATTGTGCTTAAGTACGAAATCATGTGAACGTGAATGTATGTTATTTATGCTGTTTAGTTGATGTGATATGAATGCATGTGACGATGTGTGACCCTTGTACGATTATGGCTTGTTGTATGGGTATTGGAATGTAACTGAATGAATTGTATGACATAAAATACGGTAAATTGCACGATACATAACCCCGCTAGGAATATGTATGATACGTAACGAAATGAGAATGAGAATGACATGTAAGCATGAAAACGTGGCGCGGGGTTATGCTCATTAAATGATGACTGTAGGACTAGTGGGACCTCATGCATATTGTGTGTTCATGCATTTGGGGGGATACCCCTATCCCATCACGAGGGTACGGACGCGTACATCCAAATGGCAGGACAACGATCGTTATGCTCCGCATAGCGCTGCCGTGACGGTTTTAGTTTTAACGGGTCCCGATGGGCCCCCTGAGCATGCCCACCGGCTAGGGACAGTGGCCCAGCAGTGTGCGAACTAGCTGGTGAGCCCATACTCGCACGTATGGGCTGCGTGTAGAGTATATGGTACACGTCCACGATTACCTGTTAGGATTACACCGTTGGGAAAACGAAATGAAACGAAACAAAACGAAAAAGAAACGTAACGAAACGAAACGAAACGAAATATAGGTCCCATCATTTCATTGCATGTGATTGTTGCATTTAACCCCATTAGTGGGGTCACTTACTGAGTATTTCTTTAAATACTTAGGCCATGTGCTACTACATTTTTCAGGTTAAGGCAAGGCATTCCTGTACGGCTGACGACGGCATCGCAACTCGAGATCATGGCACATGCATAGGTTAGTGGTATTTATTTTCCTAGACTTAGGATAGAATAGGATGTTTTAAACTTAAACGCTTATTTATTTTATTTCGGGTCTTTTGTTGTGTCGTTTTAAAGATGTTTTCGAAACACGTAAGTCCATGGCTGTGTTTTTAAGTTAAAGGTTATGTTTTATCGTATTTAAATGAAGTCTTCCGCATTCAATGTTTATGGTTTGTATACAGTAGCGACCTTAAATTAAGTGGAAAATTTCGGGTCGTTACATTTTTTGTCCTAACATTGCCCCCACAACATGGCCACTAGCATCACACATCAACTCAAATGGTGAATTCCAATTGAGTGTTGACATTATAGGAGCTGTGGTTAGCGCTGTCTTTAATGCTTGGAAGGCAGTCATGCATTGTTTGTCAAAAACGAATTTTCTATTTGACTCCAACAAACTACACAATGGTTTTGCAATCTTGGAAAAATCTTTAATAAACCTCCTATAAAACCTTGCATGGCCCAAAAAGCTTTTTATACCTTTAACTGACGTAGGTGGATTCAATCTTTCAATAGCTTCTATCTTGGCTCTATCAACTTCTATTCCTCTTCTTGAGATCTTGTGGCCTAACACTATTCCCTCATTGACCATAAAATGACATTTTTTCCAATTCAGTACAAGATTCTTCTCTTCACATCTTTGTAGAACCTTCCCTAAATTGCACAAACAAGCCTCAAAAGATTCTCCATAAACCGAAAAATCATCCATGAATATCTCCATAAATGTTTCTACCATATCTGTAAAAATGGTCATCATGCAACGTTGAAATGTCGCTGGAGCATTACATAGTCCAAAGGGCATTCGTCTAAAGACAAAAATTCCATATGGGCATGTGAATGTAGTTTTCTCTTGATCTTCTAGACTGATTGTATCTCGAATAACCATCCAAGAAGCAATAATGTGACTTTCCAGCAAGCCTATCAAGCATTTGATCAATGAATGATAAAGGAAAATGATCCTTACGTGTCGCTTTGTTTAGCCTTCTATAATCCATGCAAATTCTCCATCCATTCACTGTTCTAGTGGGGATCAACTCATTATTTTCATTTGCCATTACTGTTATCCCTCCTTTCTTCGGAACACATTGAATAGGATTGACCCAGCTGCTGTTTGCAATTGGATAAATTATTCCAGCATCTAGCCATTTGAGAATCTCCTTTCTAACAACCTCCTTCATCATGGGATTTAATCGTCTTTGTTGCTCAATGGACTTAACTTTTCCTTCCTCCAATTGTATTTTGTGCATGCATAGTGAAGGGCTAATTCCTTTTATATCCGCCAATGTCCAACCTATCGCTCCCTTGTGCTTCTTTAATGTTTCTAGGAGCATATCCTCTTGAGTTGAGGATAGTGTCGCTGAGATGATGATGGGTAGTGTCTTCTTGTCACCTAAATAAGCATACTTAAGGTTAGGTGGTAGTGGTTTTAAGTCCAGCTGTGGCGCTTCCTCAATAGAAGGTCTCATCGGTGAACTCTTTCTTCCCTCACATTCTAGTGACTCAAAAGTTCTGCTGAATTCACCTAAAACTGCTAACTGTTCTATTCTGTCATTCCAGCTGCTGTCTTCTTCCTGCTCGCTTTCCCCATCATCCCATTCCTTGGTCGCTGGTTGTTCTGTCAATTCATACACTGCTGAGCATTCTTCTGTCACTGCTGGATATTTCATGCTGTCATTGATGTTAAATTCAACTTTTTGGTCACCCATTCTTAACGTGATGGTTCTTTTGTAGACATCTACTAATGTTCTTCCATTCTTTAAAAATGGCCTCCCCAAAATAATTGGAACATCATGATCAGCTTCATAATCTAAAATGATAAAATCTGCAGGAAATATAAATTTGTCAACTTGAATTAAGATGTCCTCAATCTTTCCTTCAAGATAAGTGATGGACCTATCGACTAGTTGTAAGGTGACTGTAGTCGGTCTAACTCTCCAATCCCCAACTTCTTGTAAATAGATAGAGTCATTAAGTTGATGCTTGCTCCCAAGTCACATAATACTCGTCTAGTTCCTTTCCTCCAATTGATACAGGAATAGTGAACGATCTAGGATCTTTCTCCTTTAGTGGGATCTTGTTCTTCAATATTGCACTACACTCTTCATTTAATGACACCACATTAAATTCTTCAAACTTCCTTCTATTAGTGAGTACGTCCTTCAAGAACTTCACATAATTTGGCATTTGCTTCAAAGCTTCCACAAGTGGTATGTTTATATGAATTTTGCTTTAGAATATTCATAAACTTCTCAAAATGGGCTTCCTCTTTCTTTCTCTTTATTCTTTGTGGAAAAGGAGGTGATGGTGTGTATGTTCTGCTCTCTTGTCCACTGCTGGCTGTTGTTTGCATTTTAGGCTGCTCCTTAATTTGTGCATAATCCTTGCTGTGTTCTTTCTGTACAGCAGCTTCCTCATTTCTCTGTTGTGTTGTAATACCCGAATTTTTAGATAAATAAATAAAAAATAAAAATAACACATAGGGGCAAAAGGGTCATTTTGCCCCTACTCTTACCCAAGGGGTCTCGTTGTTTGGGGTCTAAAAGAAAGAGAAAAGAAAAGAAAAGAAAAGAAAAAGAGAGAGAAAGGAGAAAGGGAAGAAGTTAGGGTTTTGGGAGAGAGGAAAAGCAGAGATGATAATCGTCGTTTGAAGATCGAAACTAAGGCAAGAAACTTCGAAGTAATACTTCTCTCGGTGCTAGAAAAGGAGTTTGGGTGGTGGATTCACTCATTCCGGCAAGAAAATCCGAGAACGGACAAAGTAAGGTTCCGAACTTCTTGTTTCGATTTTATCTAGATCTGAGGAGTTTCATGAGCATTAGATCTGGAGTTTTTGAGGTATGTGACTAAAGTAAGATTCTCACATGTTTCTTGAAGTTCTTGGACGAGAATCGGACGAAAATCAGAGTTTAGTCGGACTTCGGGTAAACGATCGAAAATAGAAAATGTGAGTTTTTCTGTATATTTGGACGGCCTTAACTCATCCGGTGTTCAAGAAAAAAATATAATGTAGAAGTAGAATATGAGATCTATAATTTACGTGAAGAAACTTTGTTGATATGGATTACGGATTGAAAGATAAGAAAATTGGAAGAAAATAGATCGAAAACGGCAAAAACTCACGTTTCTGGAAAATTTGGAAAACTCAGGAGGAGAGAGAGGAGGCCTCTCCGCCACGCGTCGGCCGGCGTACGGAGGAGCGCGGCAGGACCTATGAGCGACACGTGGCGACCGCGGGATGGAGAGTCATGTCCCACTAGTTAGACGACACGCGTCAAGGCGCGGATTCGAGCCAACCCGAGTCCGATCCGGCGCTCCTCACGCGACCCGGGAACCACGCAAACCGAACTGAACCGGCCGCTGGCCCGCGGCTGCGCGGGAATTCACGCGTGGACACGCGCGCGTAGAATCCGCGCGTAGTACACCCTCCAGAGCGCGTGAGTGCCTATTTTCCCTCCGTTCGACCTCCATTTGCTTGTTTTTTCGCCCGGATTTCAACTCTGATCCTATTTTTATGTGAATTAGGACCTATCAAGGAAATTCCAGAATTTTTGGAACCTTTTCCGGCAAATAATTCGAGCTTGGGAAGGCACGCGTCAACCAAGTAAGTAGCCATTTGGATTTCCACGAGCAGTACTTGTAGGAACCGCTAGGAACAAGCATGCATGCTACCACCTATGAAATTAGCTAGCCGAACTTAGCGTGTTATTATAGAAACTGCGAATATAAGATGATTATGGAAAGCTAGATACAAAATGTGTATTAAATCTGTTTTGGTTGAGACTCTGGTAATGTATGTATGCATGAGGAGGTTGGGAAACTTGTGAAATCTGCGCTCCGGGTAAAGATGGACGTTATCTTCCCGTTGAGCATGTTTGATAATTTTCCATGAACTGCTGCGTGTAAACTCTATTTTATGATGATTGCTTGTATTATCTCTCTTGATGAATAGGAAGAAATTATGAGCTTAGATTAGAATGCTTATGGCTAAATAAGCTAGACGTGACCCTAGATTGGGGGACCTCTAGAATACCGTGCAATTAGACCCGCGAAATGATTACCAGCGGAACCAAAACCCAGAATTCCAAACCCGATAGGTTTGTGACACCAGGCACGAGAATCCTAGAGAAATACGAATCCAAGTCTAAGCCATCAAGTTTCACCTTAGAAAGAATAATAGGTCACCACGGTAACTGTAGGTAGCCCGTTAGAGTTGAGCAGTATAGATAGTGTCATCAGAACCTCCACTTCCCTCTCTCCTCCAATACCATACCATCGAGACAGAGCTCCGGTACGGTGATCGTTGAGCTTTGAAGATCCGGATAGGGAAGTGTGACAGTGCCTAGACCTAGTGGTGATAGCTAAGGGGTCTTTTGAACAGGACTCCTGGGCCGTAGAAACTCGTCCCTGAGCGGGGGACGTGGAGCCACTTAGGATGACTCAGTAGCTGACCGGCACACAGGGGGTCGCATCCCGTTTTGTGGATGTATGGTCCCGTGTGAGGGTCGTCAGTTAACCTCCACGGATGATGTTCAGAGAGAGAGTCACGTATTCAGATCCAGCCATACGATCCCCTTAGATTTGCTTATGAGGTCGCGCCTCACCTCAAGACACTGATCATTTCACTGCATAAGATGGGCAAGTCTTTTATGATACAGAAAGAGAGTTGTAGCTTAGATCACTCTCCTTAGAAACCCGAGAAAGACCGTGGTTACCTACCAAGATAAGGATGCGAAAATAGCCTACAAGTAGGCTGCTTACTGAGTATATTTTTATACTCACCCCTTTCTCCCCTTTTTTTTTTCAGGTACCAGTCGATACGGGGAGGTGCTCGAGAGCTGTGCAGTCACAGAGGGGTGTCGTTCCGGAGCGTCAGTCCCTTGTCAGTCTTTTAGAGTCCTTTGTCCGTTTTCATATTTAGAGTCTTTTGTATTTCGTTTTTGCATTTGCAATTTCCTTTGTAATATTTTCGAAACAAATCTCTTTTTTCTTTTGTTTTAATTGAATGATATTTTTACCCTTTTACTTTGCTTTTCTTTTCTTTTATTTTCTTTTTGATTGTTTTCGATTTCGTCCTTTTAGTCACGATTTCGATTCTTCGAAGCCTCGAAAATCGGGTCGTGACATGTATATCAGCAGTTTCTTGGGAATGGCTGTCACCTTGTTCTGCATTTTTTTCTCCTCTGTTGGGTATTTTTTTTCTACTTCTCAACTCTATTGCTTGACATTGCTCTTTGCCTTCTCTTTTTGATGTTTCGGTGTCTGCTGGCAGCTTTCCAAGAGGCCTATTTCGTAACTCAGTTGCTAATTGACCTACTTGAACTTCCAAATTTCTCAATGAGGCTTGTTGATTTTGTATCACGACATCATTTTTAGCCATATATTCCTTTATTAGGCTCTCAATAGATGTTCCCAATGTGTATTGAGCTTGGGGAATTCCTTTCCCTTGGGTGTTGACTTGTTGAGAACTATAAGCCAATTGATTTTGTAATCCAAAACCCGGAGGGTAATTTGCTTTAGGTGGCATTTGTTGGTTGTATGAGCCTTGTCCCTTCCATGAGAAATTTGGATGATTTCTCCACCCCGGATTATAAGTATTTGAGAAGGGGTTATTTTTTGGGTTGCCTTGACTAGCTTGATTCCCGACATAGAAAATTGAGGCCGGATTGCTTGGACATTGATCAAAGGTGTGTTCCTCTCCACAATATACACAAGATTCGGCTGCTGTCTGGTTAATTACAGCAACTGTATGGACTGGTGCTTTGATCATGGAGTCTTGCCCCAATGCTAGATTTTGTAAAATATTAGTCACCGAAGCTAGTTGAGCATTGATAGAAGACAAAGCATCAACTTCAAGTACTCCTCGAGTCTTCCTTCCTGGGTTGCTTCTCACATCGGCCCATTGACAATTGTTAGATGCTATTCTCTCTAAAATTTCATATGCTTCATTGTATGTCTTTGACAAAATGGCTCCATTGGCGGAAGCATCAACTACTTGTTTAGTAGCAATATTTAATCCATTGTAGAAAGTCTCCATTTGTATACAATGAGGTAGTCCATGGTGAGGACACTTTCTAAGCATCTCCTTAAATCTCTCCCAAGCTTCACTTAGTGTGTCATCTTCAAACTGTTGAAAAACAACAATCTCATTTCTGAACCGTGCATTTCTAGTGGGTGGGAAATATTTGATCAAAAATTTCTCTACTAGACTATTCCACGAATCAATTGTTCCCAGTGCTAAGGTATTCAACCATGATTTAGCACCATCCCTCAATGAATATGGGAATAAGCTCAGTCTAATCACGTCTTTATCAACTCTCTGAAATCGAAATGAGTCACTAACTCCCAAAAATGACTTTAGATGTAGGTGGGGATCTTCCGACGGAAGTCCATGAAATTGCCCAATGGTTTGCAACATTTGAAACATCACGGGCTTTAGCTCAAACGTGGTTGCTTGCATTTCGGGTCTAATAATGCACGGATTTAGCTCTTCCACAGCTGGGTGTGCATATGCTCGGATCGCTCTTTCTCTGTCATCTGCTAAATGAATGGCATTGGCAGTAATTCTCTCTTGATTAGCCATCATCGCTGGATTTTCAAACTCCCGATTCAACTGGGCTCCAAGTTCTATTTGCTGTATATTCTGTTCTGTCATTTTCTTTTTCTCCTTCATCCTTCGTCTAAATGTTCTCTTTATTCAGGATCCAAAATAAATTCCAAACCCGTAGGTGGGTTCATACACAGAATTCTGTAGCAGTAAACTCAATTCTTCAGCAGTAAATATAGCAGTAGAAAATTCAGCTTCCTTGACTTCTTTTTGGTTCCAACTCACGAAAATCTACAAGTAAAATAACCAAATTAGGTTCCCTGGCAACGGCGCTAAAAACTTGATCGCTTATGGATGTATATAATAAAATGACGTAAAATTCACAAGAATAAGTGCAAGTATACACTATCACAAGTAGCAAGTAATAAGTAAATTATCGATTCCACAAAGAACCTATCTTTTTGGTTAATTTTATCGCTGGAAATTTAAGTGAGTTTTTGGGTAACATTCAAATGGGTGTTGGAGATTTTAACTATTTAAACAAAACTAAAACAGAGTGCCACTGCTGTCGAAAAACAGAAAATGATAAGAAAATCAATTATAATGAGGAAGGTTCGGCTAAGAGAGATTAAATAGATAAGTTGTTGAGTTTTGTGGTAGATTTTAGTTCCTTTTAATAGATTCTCAAGCCCACTTCCGAGGGTCATGAATGGTGATTATTTCCATAATCGTTTTTAATTTCTATTAACAAGGCTCTAGGGGAAGAATTATTCCTAACCCTTCTATTACCCTTCAAGTCTCCTTGCTAAGGAACTAGAGTATTAAAGAGGATTTCATTACTTCCTCTCTTCTCCCGAATAAGAGAACAACTATGTAGGTAAAGTAGCTAATTAAACATACATGTAAATCATTAATAACAACTCTTTAATAAACTAAAATCATACCGTCAACATACTTAAACTATATAAAACTCTCTCGCCTCCCCTATTAAGTTTAGCTCTCCATACAAACTGAATTAAACAGAGGAATTTGCATCTTCATCATGTAAAATTGATGAAATAAGGAAAAAGAATAAGAAAATAGAGAGTTATCCTGGTTTGTTGCCGTTCGTTAATGGAAGTTCCCTTCTCTTGAGCTCTCACGTCCACCTCTTTGTCCTAATCAATCCTTGTTGGTCTCTTTTTCCTTCTGCTGTCAACAACGGCTGAATTAGGGTTTTCTTCTTCTTCTCTGGTTTCACAGCAGTTCACTGCAGCAGAAGCTGTTGCTGTGTAATTCGATTTTCTCCCAAAAAATGTGGCTCCTCTTCTCTTGGTCTTCCTTTTCCTTTTATATTGAGCATGAGTTCCCCTTTAGGGCTGAAAAAGAATAAGTAGTCCACATAGGATGTTCCTCATTGGGTAGTCAATGACCCACTTGGACTGATGATATGGATTTAAAATTTCCATGTCATCCCCCATTTGTTTCCAAATTTGCTATTCCCACATGGTTTAGCATAAATGTCTGAAATTTTACCATATAACTCAATTAAATATACAATTAAGATCGATTTATGTCAAATCATATTTTTTTCATGTTAGACCGCAACAAACGATTTCATGCTCACTAAGTAGAATAAAGAGGGTAATAATTGAGAAAATGGTGAATAAGAGTGCAATATTAACTACAAAAAGACTTGATATAACTTTACATTTAGAGAGTTGTCACTTTTCATTAAAAAAAAATCATAATTAGAAGAATTAATCACGTTTAAATAATTTTATTGTTAAAGCCTATTCACCTCCTCTAGGGTGCCATACCGTTCAAACAATAGTCTAGCCCAAGGACCTTGGTTTTGAGTTCTTAACTTTGGTTCTTATCTAAAGACCTTAGTTTTGAGATTCTAGGTTTTTAGTTCTCAAAATTTGTATCTTGATCTACATTCTAGTTCTTATTCGTAGTTCTTAATTCTTGTCCCTGATTCTTGTCCTTGTCCTTAGTCTTGCTGTTGGTTCTTATCCTTAGTTATTGTTCTTGTTTTTGTTCTCATTTTGTTCCCTAAGAGACTTCACCCCTAGGATTTATGGTACAAGACATGAACCTGACAACCTGTGTCTAAGGATTCATGCATTTTAAGTGACACAATGCCAAGTAACGGACAACAAAAGGAATAAGTAGCTAACCAAGTAATAATATAAAATGACCATAGTGACGGGTATTCCGGATATTCTATCCTTTAACACCACTTGTCCTAAGAACGAGACTTGTCGCAACCAAGATTCACACTTGGAGAACTTGACATACAACTTATTCCCATAGTGGTTAGGACTTTTCAGAGGTGTTCCTGGTGTTCTAGGTCTGTTTTCAAGTACTATAGGATATCGTCAATGAACACAATAACAAATGTGTCCAGACAGTCTATGAATATCGGTTCATTAATTCCATAAACACAGCTAGGGCATTGGTGAGGCCAAATGACATCACTACGAACTCGAAATGACCGTACCTTATCCTAAATGTTGTCTTTGGTACGTCTTTTTATTTAATTTTGATTTGGTGTTAACCTGACTGAATGTCTATCTTGGAGAATATCGTTGCCTCTCTAAGTTGATCGAATGGGTCTTCTATACGAGGCAGAGGGTATTTGTTCTTTATGGTTCTCTTATTTAACTCTATATAACGATGCACAGACACATCGATCCGTCTTTCTTTTTCACAAACAACACCAGCGCATCCCAAGGGGATACACTAGGTCGAATAAAATCTTTGTTCAGTAGGTCTTGTAACTACGTTTTGAGTTCTTTCAACTCTCCTGGCACCATACGATAGGGTGCTTTGGAAATAGGCCCAATTCCTAGCTCGAGTTCTATAGCAAAGTCGACCTCTCGTAAAAGGGGTATTCCTTGTAGGTCTTCCAGAAGAATTCATTTACTACTGGTATGTTGTCTAAGGTCTTTTGTTTTCCTCTTACATCTATGACACATGCTAATATAGCCCAACTGCCTTGTTGGACTAGTTTCTTTGCTTTCATCATTGAGACTACTTTTGGAGTCGTCCCGATACTTGTGCCTTTAAACTTAAATCTAGGTCCATCCAATGGTGAGAATACTACTTCCTTTTTGCGACAGTCTATAGTAGCACGATTTTCAGCTAACCACTCCATGCCTAGTATTACATTGAAGTCGGTCATGCTCACTACTATTAAGTGTACACTTGGGGTTTGGTCCGCTACGATTACTTGACCATTCTTTACTCTATCCCTAGCTACTAGGTCTACCCTCGTAGGGGTGCTTACCAACAGTACATGCTATAAGGGTTCTAATTCAAACCGTGTCTCTGATCCCTTTCGAGGCAGGCTCTCTTCAGCCTCATATCGTGTAATAGCCCAAAAATAAATAAAGAAATAAAGAAGTAAAAG